TTTAATAGCTGCGAAATTTGATTTTCTATTTCGATCTTATCTTGAACTGAACATCTATATGGTCTTTTATAACAATACTTTTCAATTTGCAAATCTATACAGGCTTCATACATTTTTACTTTTCCAGTGTCATATTTGTTCCTTGCAAATATTTCAGAGTAATTCTCCAATAACATATTTATCTGTTTCCTTTGTTCATTGTTTAAGAATCTTGTATCTATATTAAATTGGTTTGTATCTATACCTTCATTGAAGTTTACTGCATACTCTTTTCCTTCTATATTTATTTTCATATTATTAGTTTGTCTATTTTCATCTTCATTGCTACTTATTTTAGAATTGTTTGTTTTGTGTATCTGGATATTTAAATTCTCATCATGAGTCAACCCAAATGTATATATTGAATCTAATCCTAGTATTAAATCATAATTAAAATGTTCGTTTTCAAAGATAAATGCATTTATTTTATTCTTTCTGTTTAATAATTCTGCATCCAGTGTAATTAAACCTTTAGTTTCTCCTCCTCCACTTATTGTTTTTATTGTTTTATAGCAGGTATTTGGTTTCGTATTTGCTATCTGAACTAATTTAGAATTAATTAATGTTATTCGTGAACCAGGATCATACAGCGCCTTGGCTTTTAATGTATTGTTTAACATTACTGTTATCTCAATTAGTGGAGGGAGATTTAGTTTTTTTGGTTTTCATTACTGAGTTCAACTTCTAGTATTGAATTAGAGTTAAAGGATTTTTTGTCAGTTGTTTTATTATCACGACTGTACCAGCAAACATTCTCGGGGAAACCTATTAAATTTTCCATTATTTTCACAAATCTTGCAGGACTTTTTTCCAGTTTGTTTTATTTCTTGTTTAATGTATGTATTTCCTGTGCTTTGAGTTTTCTTCGTATCATATTTTCTTGCAAAAGTTTCTAGTCCTCTTATACAGTTAAATAACTCATTTACTTCTTTAATGCTTTCTCTGTCTATTTTATCCATTATGAAGTTTGGTAGACCAGTGGCAATCAAGAAAATTAGAGTTTTTTTATCTATTGTATTGTTAGCTTCTAGTAATAGTCTCTCTTTTTTTAGAGCGTATTCTAACATTGATCCTTGTATGTATTTAAAATTAATAGCATATCGGATTGGTAACCATCCTTTATCGGCAAATGCTTCACATAAACTCTTCTTCCATACAGACCACTCCGAATCAATTGTATATTTTATAATCATGGAGGTGTACCAATCCATACACGTATCTTCTAATAGTAATCTTAGCATTTCTATCTTTCGTAAATCCGTATCTATTTGTAAGCGCGCACATTCACTTTCATAAGTATCTAACCATTGTTGAACATCTGTTGTATTTCTTGAAAACTTCTGTATTGAAAATTCTGCTAATAGTTTTGTTTTATTTCCTATTTTCTTCGACAATGACTCTGTCGATGACGACTCTTGACTTGGTTCTAATTTTTCAAGCAAATACCCATCAAATTGTATGTTGCCATCATCCAAGTATGTACTTTTCATATCTTTAGTTAATGTAATCCAAACCTGTCTCTTATCATGCCTTTTTTGGAGCGATTTCTTTATTTTGTCAAATATTTCATGTTTCATTATTTCTTTGTGTAACTGCACCGATTGATATTCTCGAGGCATAATATAAGTTTGGCCTTGTGTATCCGTGATGGTAGTTATGGCATAGATATTGGTTTTATTATCATCCGGCTTCGCTTTCACGATGAATTCAAATTGTAATTTCTCCATTACGTACGTATGTTTATAATACTTGTATTAATGTAATTGTATTTATCTTCACACGTGACCAAAATTGTCGATTTATAAGATGAGGATTTGAGACAGCAATGAAATCATAGGATTCATCTATAACAATAGAGTTTTATTTAAATAAAATAACAATGTTTTAATAAAAAAATATAAAATATGAATCCTCGGAATACAAACCTATAACAATAGAGAATCGACAATTAATTGTCACTGCTTTAGCCCGTCGATCCTCACTTAAATTCTTTAAATTAAATAACTAAAATAACAATCCTATATTATCGAAATAAAATTAATTCTTTACAATATTTCAATTTTGTAGCTAGAATATTTCAATTGACGTTCGTTTTATGACACGTGTGTCACCTTATCCAAAGACAATACAAAGCATGGAGGCTTTCATATATAATATAATTTCACCTACATAATTGTTTAATCTAATACCTACATTAGGTTAGTCTAACCACTGAGACTGAGAACCAAAACTGTTTTATGAAATCAAAATAACAAAATAATTTAATTATTTTATTTTAACAATTAAAAGTGGAGTGAAGACAAGTATTGTGTTGCCGACTCAGACACTCAGTACTTGAAAAAAAGGTCCTCTTGAAACCAAATATATTATTTTCATATCGAAAAAAGCAGTCGTTCCTAGTATTGCTGTGAGTGTAGGTACCTACTATACCTACTATGAATAGTATAGTCATATTATAATTTAGTACCTAATTTGAATGTTAATATAATCGATATTCACTTATTCAAATAAACAATTGATCGGACAGCGTAAGCGATCACAAGGGTATGTTAATAGCAGGAAAATTAATTTATCCAGGTATATTGGTGAGCAATACAATCTGTGTTATACGTAATACAACGGCATTTGCCCCGGGTAGCATGCATCCTGTGACATGCAAATCTTGGTGATAGTATTAAATCGGATAGTCGGAAGTGTGCAGGCGACTCGATACTGTTAAATTGATGTAACAAGCTAGGGTACGTGGGTTGAATGGTGATACCATCCTACATACACCGGTCATCGCAGCTTTGTTAATTGTATTGCGATCTCCTTTGTACAGCGACTGCGATTGCGACAAACGAACTGGCGTCGGCACTTCGTTACACTCATCATTTTATTAGCTCATTGCTTTGTTTAACGCATGCTGATGGTCCACTGAAACTATAGTTTGGGTTTATTAAGGTTAGTTAAACAAAGGATTTGGAAAGAAAAATAATACCGAATTTGAATATAGCTGCGTAGTTGGAAAATCAATTCAAAGATATGATTATCTTTGATAACTGTATTATTTTAATTGATAATACCTGTACCATAATGTTAAATATCGTTCATGTAATTCATCATTCAAAGGAATCGTGAAACCGCATACGAAAAAGTAACTCAAATCACACTAATATTTTTTTGTTTGGATATTTGTCCGTCAACCACGCTAAAACTACTGAACGGATTTTGATGAAATTTGGTTAACAGGCAGGGTATGGGGTAACTTTGGTAATAGGATTTTTATCTCGATTAAATGCTCCCAATATGAATTCGGTAAAACCAGGAATCATATTCTACGCGCACGAAGTCGCGGGCAACAGCTAGTTAATTATAAAGTAGGTAATGAAAGATTTTACGAATTTTAAATATACACATATTTATTTAAAAAAAAAATATTTGCAATCGTTGACAAATAAAAGAAGAGCGTTTATTGTGCTCACTCACAAAATCTAGAAAAAAAATCTTAACAAGTTTAATCAATGGTAAATTGTTTTGTAGGTTGAAGTCCTAGGAGGACATATAAGATACCTACCATAAGAAGACAATACATGGTTATTTACGTTACCTTCATCACTCAATACAATCTGACGAATGGGTATCGTTTAATATAAACATACGTACATTTATATTCACTGGTTTTCTGTAATGCAAGGTAAATTGTCCAGTTTCATATACGAGTATTTTGAAATCGAAATTGAAATTCGGATTTACACCAATCTCCGATAATCCGTTTATATTCTTAAAGCATTTTCATTTTTTGTTTTTTTTTATAAAATCTTTATAAATGTGAAATTGATTTGATTTGTTTGTATTCACACATAAATCTGTTAATCAATTTAAACTACACTTACGAATGTTCACGTAGTACCTACTTTCAGACAAGGGAATGGAATTTCTGACATAAGCATATGTATTTGATAAAAATGAAAATTTAAGAGGGATAGATAAATGCCATGGAGACACCTTTTCTCTCTTTAATAAGATACGAAGATAAGTAAAGCTTATGTAAAAGAACACATTCTCTGAACTGTTTTAAGCATAAACAATTATTATGAAATACGTGTCTTTTGCCATTACCATAATTTATAAAATTACTGATATAATAAAAAAATATGCTCACATTTATAGGTAAAATACAACAAAAATATCATTACTTGCTTTACTCAGTCTTTGATCTTGATAATGTAAAAGCCTATAGCTTAATTGGTACCTAAGTACATGTCTTGATATTCTACGAGATAGGTAAATATCTAGATAACTAGAAGGCTCGCCTACGCGCTACTTAGGTCCCTTTGTGCAATGTGTCAATCTTTCATAGCTCCATAAAAGACCATCCTATCAATAGTTTTAAAAACAGGACACAAACAAAAGCATTATTATGCCTTTGTTCTATGGTGGTGAGAGCTATGTACTTATATTGTGGGTAACATTACCCATACCCGAAAACATAACACAACAGTGTTTGTAGAATAATATTAAACTGAATATTTAAATAACAGGGCATGCCGTAATTTTTACGTTTGGCAAGCGGATTATAGATCGCAACTTGAAAAGTTCTTATCAGGGAACGTTGCTGTCTTGTCTCTGTCAAATGTATATTTCCTTCATGAGCTCTTGGGTCATCCGCGAGAAAAATAGATGTATAGTGAAAAATATATTTTACTCTTCCGTCAACACACGGCTACCTGCCCTTCAATTGAATTGATATATAGGGAGGCATTGCGTCGCCTAGCTTCCAGACTCTAAATTAAGTAACTGTAGGTCTGTATTGTATGTAACCTAATAAAATTAATATTATATTCTTCAATAATAAAACCCTGTACCTACAAAAGTCATTCGAATCCTCATTCTAATCCTTTGCCTCCTAACAAAATGCGTTTATTGACTAAATACACTGATTTAATACAATTTTATTTACAGAACTTTGTTTTTGTTTCAGATAAACAACGTGGAAACTTCATTGCAAACGTACGGAATGAATAATACCTACAACATCCAAACACGAAACACTATCAACTAGATTTCGTTAGCCTAACAAAACCATACTAAAGCACACAAAACTACTTTTCATTCAAACTATGCGGAAACATAGCAAACAAACGCCGCCTTCAACTTTAAGCACGGACTTTACGTCATAGGAGGGAAACTCCGACACGTAAGCCTACATACACAGCAGAAGCCACACTGTCTTACATCAACACCACACTTACACACACAGCCAACTGTGCATATAAATACTCCGCACACTGATTTCACTTCATCCTCGTGTGAGTTAAACGAGAGCTCTTTAGTTGGCATGCTCGCCTAGTACCCGGTGTAACGAAGAGGTGGCACAATTGCGTCAAGTGCTACTCATATCGGTTACGTTGAACGCAACCCACACATACACACTGCTTAATTCATGACACTTGAATGAGTACTTCGCAAATTCACAGGGTAATTAGCCGGCATACCAAAATTAATAAGCCCGCAGCCAACGTAAATCGGTACTGATTGGTTGCGAACACTGAAGAGGGACGGATGAATTTAACTACCAAGGGTAAGCTACGATTCTGTTTACTATGATTTAAACAGAGCGAAAGTTATCTACTTCTACAATTCTATTTTTTTTATCGGTATTGATAAAATTGGTACATATCTGCACATTTTGTTAAAAAATAAAATTAATTACACTTTTATGGAAAAATGTTTTCAAACTTAAACACTTACTTTTACAGGCATCTCAGTAGTACCAATTTTAAGCAATAATTTTATATTAATGAAGTACAGTAGATACATATCTAAGACTCCAATTATGTAATTTCTAAAAATGTTATTAGATTGAAATTGTAATAATCTTAACACGAGCTGTGATCTGTTAATTTGTTTGGTTAGGTAGACTTTATTAATGAAAACTTATTTTTTTTATAAAACCATCTCTGAGCTACTTAGAAATATATTAAGCTCTTAAACTCTTAAAGATATAAAATAAATCGAAGACACTTCATACTTTAAAATTCAAACACAAAAAGTACCCAGTAATACTTACTTTGCTTAACTCAATGATCAAACCTGAGATCCGCCAATGAAAAGAGAGAAACTCACATGATTGCATCTGTGTTTTTAAAAATTGCACCAAATCCTTCAGGATACATATCCACAATGTCCACTTAAGTAAAAGTTCAGGTTCCGTTGCAGTTGGAATACTACTCCCATTACTGAAGTGATAAATAGATTAATTTAAATAAATAAAGTTTACGGAGTAAAATAATTATTATTATTCCAGGACTGAATACTGTTTTTTTTTAATTCTGTATAAAACTGAAAAAAGAAATAATGCCTATTATATTTCACTCAACGTGAACACGACGTCCTGGAAGACAGCTTTAGTCCACCCAATCCCTAAAAAAGGTGACCGATCTAACCCGTCTAACTACAGACCGATAGCCATAACTTCCCTCTTCTCGAAAATAATGGAGTCCATTATTAACTGCCAGCTCCTGCGTTACTTAGAGGATCATCAGCTGCTCAGTGACCAGCAATACGGTTTTCGTAAAGGGCGGTCTGCTGGTGATCTTCTTGTTTACCTAACGCATCGGTGGGCACAGGCGATCGAGTCTAAGGGGGAAGCGTTGGCAGTAAGTTTAGACGTGGCGAAGGCCTTCGATCGGGTTTGGCATAGAGCGCTTCTTTCGAAGCTTCCTTCCTACGGACTTCCTGAGAAATTATGCAAATGGGTCTCCTGCTTCCTTGCAGACAGAAGCATTAAAGTCGTCGTCGACGGTGAATGCTCTGACTTGATGTCTGTAAACGCAGGTGTCCCTCAAGGCTGCGTGCTATCGCCTACACTGTTCCTCCTCCATATCAATGACATGCTGCAAATCAGCGGCATTCATTGTTATGCGGATGACAGCACAGGCGATGCCTACTACACCGGCCGCGCTAACATTTCTCGGGAAAACGTCATAGAGAGCCGAAACAGACTCGTGTCTGAAATCGAGACCTCTTTAGGGAGAATCTCTGATTGGGGTGGGCTTAATTTGGTCCAGTTTAACCCCACTAAGACACAAGTCTGCGTGTTTACCGCTAAGAAACTGCCGTTGGTCGTCTCTCCTCATTTTCAAAGCACCCCCCTAACTGCCTCAGCCGGTATTGGAATACTTGGTGTCAACATTTCGAGCGACGTCCAGTTTTGCGGTCATTTAGAGGATAAGGCCAAATTAGCCTCGAGGAAGCTTGGTGTGCTCAATAGATCGATGCAGTATTTCACCCCGGCCCACCGCCTGCTTCTATATAAGCCACAGGTGCGGCCCCACATGGAATACTGTTCTCATCTTTGGGCGGGGGCACCCCAGTACCAGCTTCTTCCTCTGGACCGCATTCAGCGGCGTGCCGTTCGGATTGTTGGATGTCCGGGTGTTTCAAACCGGCTCGACACTTTGGCAATGCGTAGAGATGTAGCTTCATTGTGCATTTCCTACCGCTTATACCACGGGGAGTGCTCTGAGGAATTGTTTGACCTGATACCTGCCGCATCTTTTCGCCATCGACCCTCACGACAGCATATGCATCCCCATCAAATAGATGGTTGGCAGGCCACAACTGTGCGGTTCTCACGTAGCTTCCTGCCTCGCACAGCAAAACTGTGGAATGATCTGTCGTCGGCGGTATTTCCGAACCGATACGACCTTCAAACCTTCAAGAAAAGAGCGTACTCCTTTTTAAAAGGCCGGCAACGCACCTGTGACTCTTCTGGTGTTGCGGGTGTCCATGGGCGGCGCTGATCGCTTACCATCAGGTGATCCGTCTGCTCGTTTGCCTCCAATTCCATAAAAAAAAAAACTCAAAAATTGAATTTTTGTGCAAAAAGCTCATAATAATTTGTTTAATTAGTAATCGTTTTGTAAAAATCTTCTTGATTCTGTTAGAAATTTGTTTCCGGAAGAAGTCAATTCTTCGTAGAATCCGTACTTGATTTTAATTTTTTTATAATACAAGTACTAATATAATAAAATTACAAGTTATAGTAATAGTACCTATGGTAGTAGTAGTAGAACTTACCTTAAGTTGGTAATGGCACATATACGAAAATACTTGATTGTAATACAAAAATGCCTAGGTGTATCAATAATCAACGTCGATCATAAACACATTAAAAGTGAAAATCGGTTTATTAAAACCTAAAAAAATCTTTGATTCGTTTGTAACAAAGATATTTAAATTTAAAAAGCAAATTAATGTTGTGATAAGTAAATTAATATTTCGACAACGAAGGAAACATGTACCTTACATTTTTACTGCACGTTTTTTTTTTAAGGGGGAAAATCATCGAATGACTCCTCCCGCCTGGGTGAGGCGGGAGGGAGTGTCAGACTCTTACTGACTAAAAACAACCCCGTTCCTTCTCCTGCACGTCGAGCCGGAGCCCCGGTTACCCGTTAGGTTCTCCGCGACTCCGAATCGGCATCGGCCCTATTGGGCCCCTTCTGTGGTGGTCTGATGGCTCTTTGAGGCGCGCGCGGAACGCGAGCGAGGTGCAACGTGCAGCGGGTTCGATACTCGCACGGTGCAACTCTTTGTGTCATCCGCAAAATAATTTGTATGTTTGTAAACGCACCGACGACACAGGAGAAAATCCTAGTGTGGGGCAACTTTTTTTTTAAGTAAAAAAGAAAACGTTTCATAACTTATGTAACATATGTTAGCTTTGCTTCCTCGAAAGGAAGGTTCAGCTATACATGTAGTGACGAGATGGTTGTCCACTTTGTCCTCAATGGCACAAAGAAAAATTCATAACCGGAAAAATCCTTGTGACCAGTACACATATTTCTTGTCTTGCCTTGCCTTGTAGTATACAAAAACATTCACTTGGCAGAAAATGAGGTATGTAGTCATGCTGTGTGCTATGAATAATTTATTAAGAACAGCATTTGTATCATGGCAAAGCTTTACTGTAGTAAAATGTAAAACACAAGAAAAACCGCTAGCATCCGTGTTAAGATTCTTACAATAGTAGGGTCTAAGTTCTATAAAACTCAAACAGATTATACTTACCTGTAACTTGTAGAATTGAATTATTATTATGTATCTGTGTTATAAATTTGTAAACACAAACACATCAACCTAAGCTCATTCTTAAATACTTAGATTAGACTCTATCACAAGACAATAAAGTTGACAATCTATTATAGAAATTCATAGTTTGGAGTAGTTTGACATGCTGGTCTCATGTTCCTAATCATACTAACCTTTATTATTTTTTACAGGATGCTACTAGCGTAACATCAAAGTGCGAAGCGAATTACTCTTTGACACACTCGTACATTTCATTTTTACATTTTCAACGTAGTTATCATAACATGTAGTTAAAATAGAAAAATCGACTGAACTAGTTCACATTCATAAGGTACTGCATAGCACTTAATTTCACCAAACAGTATACACAACATATCTATGAAGTATCTCGGTACAACCTAGGATCTAACTATAATGTCCTACTATTTTAGTTATTATTCACTCAAGACGCGTACGCATTTTTCAGTCTTTAGACTACTTCTCTTATATTGTTACATAAAGCGCCTTAAATTAACCAATTTTTTATTCGCAGTCATGCATCTAAGCACGGAAATTTGACAAAAGTTGTCCCCAAATTGTCTAATTTTTCTATCATTTACCTGCTATTTTCTTATACACAAAATATTCACAAAGATCTATACAATACAATCAATATAAAGATCTTATCTATGTAAATAAAAATGGAAATTCCTTCAATCGCTTCCATGTTTATTAGGTTAAGCACACAATGTTTTTTTTAAATATTGTCATTTTATAAGAAAGTCATAATAGTTATACGAAAGAAAATATAAATTTAATAATGCTAATGAAGTAATTTCTATATGAAGTCGTGAATAATTTCATTTTAATTAAGTAATTTACCGATAAATAATCAGTTTGTAGGCTCAATGCATTACATAACTAAAAAACTATATAATAGTCGAACGAAAACCAAAATGGTAAAAAGTGAAACTATTATCGACATAACTTTTTAAGTGGTTTTTTATTATAAATACTTATTTAATAAACAACAAAAACCAGTTAGTCGTTATCAGAATATTTGTTCTCAAAATCCTTAATTATTCTCGCCACAACAAGTGGAGACGAATCTTGTTTCTAGACGCGACTAGACAGAATTATCACTCAACCTCGAATAAAAAAATCTTAAAGGTCGTTCTAGAATTGCTGGACAAAAAAGGCCGCCTAATCGGTCGTCTAGTCAGTCCCATATGGACCAATTAGTCGTTCAATCATCGACTCGTTGCTCGTACTATTCGACAGTACATCTTCAAATGATCTTGATTTGTTAAATCGTACTTGTTTTTCGTCGCGTAGGAATCTTTTATTGACTTTTGTCTTTCAAAATATTGAATTGCAGTTATACTTGCAAGTACGACAGCAATCAGAATAAAATTTTAATTTCTGAAATTCCTATTTTACCTAAAACATTCATGACCAGTACATTTGTTTCTTGACTAAAATTCATCACCCACAATACAACAGAAAACAAACGACAGTTTCACTAAACAGCCAAGCGAACTTTATTTTACTAACTTGATCTTCCACAGCTACTATGAAGGATTCGAGAACAGATGACAAGGAGTCCTGCAAGAATAATCTCTACTTGCTTTGCGCACATTGCAGATGCGAATTTAATTTGTTATCTTCTACCATGCACTGGTAAGTAAATCTGTAGAATAATTAAGTACAAACTTTATTATTAAGTCAAAAAACTAGTTTCAATTTAGTTTTTCGAATTTAAAACAACAATCTGTAGATTAGCCTTCATGATAAGGACATGAGTTAGTCGTATATACAAGCACCGGTTATAAGCAAGCTAAAACTGGAATCCCTTAAAACGTCGATCTCCAAAGTAGGAAGTTTGATTGGCTGTGATATAAAAAAATGTGTCGCGCCGAGTCGTCGCCTCGCCACGTGCGCGACCTGATGAACGCAAGGCGGTGTTATTTGCCGCATAATTTACATAGAGATAGATCAGCGTCCCCCGAGCCGTGCACCCGTTGAATTTCTATTGTTTAGATTGGAAAACTAAGTGCACCAATGGTCGACTTTCCTCTCACGTCATTATTAGATCGCAGGTGTCATGACGTGACAACGCTGCTTGTTGGATACAATACAAATAGAACTTCTAACTATTTAAATAGTAATCTTACACAAGTCGACAGCCTTTTATTTTACTTTATCTCAATTAAAATAGACACACATAGTAGTTCTGTTCATTGGAATTGGTAATAAGAGTGCCCAGATTAGATGGAAAAATGTGACACAATACTGATTAATTGAAAACGTGCACCACTACCCAACCAGATAAAGATGTGGAAGCCTAGAAGCCGATGGGGTTGAGAACGAATCGATTACCTAATGGCGCTGTGTGACCACCCGGCCCCGTGGAGATTGACTCATTTGCACTGCATTACATTACCGAGTGACACGGACAGCCACTCTCATCATCGCGGTAATGAACAGATTGTTGTTCACAACACTCAAGCAAAATTCCATTTCAATTGCTAGATACGTTTCTATTAGACCTTACAGCTTTGAACGCACACGTCTATTAAAATGAGCACACAAATATACACAATTGCTGCTACATTTCCTTTGGGTGAATGTTTTGAGGTTTTCAGGACGATGTTCAATAGAGCGTTAAAAATAAGCAAACGGACATGAATCAATTAATTGTACCAATTCAATGTTTCGTCTGTCCATGAGTCCTGTATGTAGCTATTGAAAAAACTAATACTTATTGTGTTTCAAAATACACTGTTTGTTAAGCTTATTGCACAAGGTTGAAAAATGAACTAAATTAATATAGGCAGGTACTGATCTGCGTACACGCTTATGACTAACCACCTGAGGAAGAGCCTTTGGCTTTAGTAATTAGCAATAAGCTATCACGATCACACGCTTCATTGTTCTGTTCCTAGGTACTTAGAGGTAAAATGAATTGATTTCAGGATCCAGATATTTCAGGAAGTTTTGTAAATGTTTTACAAAATTTTGAAACTATCTTCTCACATGATGATTTAATCAGTTGGACCTAAATGATAAAGTTAAGCAGATATTCAAATTGATATTACGTATACCTATCTCGGACTAATATTGCTCATTTTTATACAGTGGGAAACTTCAACATAGGTATGCGATACCCAGCATAGATAGATAGCGTATTGCTTCAATTGGTCAGTTCAGCAAACTTGGAGTATAATACTAATAAAGGGAAATAGTGAAGCTCGAGTGTCAGACTCGGAGCAGATCTCCTTCATCTCAATATTACGTCGTTCACCGCAGTGGCTAGTGTAACCAACCCTCCTTGGAGACAAACACATGAACTGAACACTCGAGTTAACCCGAATCACGTTGCAAATGTCTAGTAGGTCATATCAGTAGATTGACTAAACGTGCATTTACCTCAATGAGAAGATGGAATACGAATCGTATAAGTTGTGTGACAACGGTATAGGTTATAACATGTTTGGTCATAATCAAGTTTAGGTTACGCACAAACAGGTTACGAAATTGTTGTTTTCCTTTTAAATTTAACTAGGTATATTTCTACCAATTTTCTACATGTAGGTAGGTACTTATATTTCCTGGGTCCTGAAGCGGTTAAGTTCGTCATAAGTCGAAACGTAAGTAAGTAGCAATAGTGAAACATAGCTTAACTCTTTACTACCTACATTACATAGGTATCAGATATTTTTGATATTATCATAATTACCGTAAATTAAGTCACACAGTGACGATTAATTAAGTAGTATATTAATATATATTTCTATTTCCTTGTCAAAAATGTGTGTTTCAATTAGGCTGGAATTTTTAACAAAAAACTAAAATCGAGTTCAAGGTTTATTTTAAAGGTTAGTTACTTAATTTAAGTAGTTAATTTTGAATGCTATCTACTAATAGGATAGCAAAATACACACATACGAAATATTTAATTCCGTAAGTACACATATTTTCTAACATAAGTACTTCGCTTTCATACATGCTATGTACCTATGTCAGTTACATCTACTTATGTAATGGTACAGTACAGGAGTCTTCTTTGATGAAGTCAAGTATAATGAAGGATTCGAGAGTGCCTGCACAACGAGTGTTAATCCTACACGAAGTTTCGAGTAACATAGCATAACATAACGTCATGACTTTTATCCCCGAAGAGGTACCTAGGCAGAAGTGCACATAACGACACTTAATGCCACAGTACAATTAAATATAACACCCACTTTTCACTATTTATGTTATGAGTCCCATGTAACGGGGGGTGAGCCTATTGCTATATACCGGGTAAAATTCCAGACTTCATGCTACTACTGAGATGTTTTTTAAAAACCCAGTAATAATTGAAGTATTGGACTTTAATATAATATCCTAAGTACAGTCTGGGATTAAAATTGACATGAAAGTCTCATCATGTATGTAGGTAGGTAAGCTAAAATACCCACCTTAATATTATATTATGGCATAATCTCTCCAAGTCGGATTGATACAAAAAGACATGACCAAAGAGTTGAAATGAATATTTTAAACGACAGACAGGTACTTATACAATGATTATCTCACTTCTCCACTCAATTCTACCCAAGTGTTAAAGACCACTGTTCTAATCAGACAGAACATAAACCTTCCGAGCCAGTACCAGTAAATAAGAGGCTTATGATTATGTAAAAAATATTAAATAAAACCTGCATTAACCTATAAATAGCTAGACAATTAACATGATCTTCAGCACTCTGAACATTATTACGGAATAGTTATCCTCGAAATGGTTTCATTGAACCTATTTCATCTTGTTATTTTACGACTGAACTTTATTTTTTGTACCTTTCTCGCAAGCGTAGAGTAACTGTATGCATTTTAATTGCAACGTGTTTAAATGCAAATAATGTATTGTATTTTAACTTTTTTTTAACATAACATAACATCACGCATTTTGTCCTCGAAGGGGTAGGTAGTGGTGCACATTATACAACTGTACAATGTAATACCCACTTTTCACTATTTATGTTATGAGTCCCATGTAATAGGGGGTGAGCCTATTGCCATATACCGGGCACAGTTCCAGACTCCGTGCTACTAATGAGGATTTTTTAAAAACCCAGTAGTACTATGACCCGACCCGGGAATCGAACCCATGACCCCTTACCCGGCAGTCGGAATTGCGACCACTCGGCTCACGAGGCAGTCAACTTTTTTTATTATCGCTAAAATTAACGTATTGCTAAGATCTTACTCATTCCTGGTTTATTATTTATTCGTGAGTTCTTTTTGTAAGTCTATCGTACCTATCCTTTGCGAGAAGAATTGCAAAGGCTGACTTGTAGCGGTCGGTGGTGGTAACAAGACCTCCTTTTTTTGAGGGGGAAAATCATCTAATGACTTTCTCCCACTCGGGTGAGGCGAGAGGGAGTATTATACTCTTACTGACTAAAAACCACCCCGTTCCTACTCCGGCACTTCGAGCCGGAGCCCCAGCAACCCGTTAAGCCCTCCACAGCTCCGTATCCTCCGCGGCTCCGTAAACAAGAGCTCCTGAAGTGACATTTGCAGCTACGAGTTGCTCCTAGATTGTGGAGAGGCTTCACTTCGTTGAGACCTGAACTATTGCGTCCAGTAATGTCATGTTGGAACGATTCTATGTTGGTAAAAATCAGTTATTGCTGTTATAACTTTAATTAACACATTTCAATAAAGATGTAGGTAAATCAAATTATCCGCCAATAACACAAACTGAAGCCTAATTAGTCTTACTTTATTTTTAGCAGAATTGCTTTAATATCACTTTTTAATTGAATGACTGCACGGTTGGCGCGGTGGTTGGTTAACTGGCCGATGCGCGACATGTCGCGGGTTCGATTTCCGCACGGAACTCTTTGTGTAATCCACATACTGTTGTTCCGAGTCTGGGTGCCATGTGTTGATGGGTATGTAAACTTGTATGTTTGTAAACGCACCCACGACACAGGCGAAAATCCTTGTGTGGTGAAACGATTTAAAAAAAATCAAATTATGATTCCAAAATGTGAGTGGCTCGTTTATAAAAGCAGATCGCGGACTCATAATGTAGTTAACGATTGGAAAGTTATTAACGTCTACCTATCCTATAAGGATTCAAAAATAAAAAATCATATAGGTACCGAGGTCGGTGACTTATATACGTAGGTACCTACTACTTAATACTACGTATCAGTACGAAATAATATAATACCTACGTACCAAAATTAAATGTAAGTGTAAACTCATCTACGACAACGTAATTGGACTTCCACGTGATTTTTAATTCAAGCCTACCTACACAAACAAGACATTAAACTTAAATTTGGTACCTTATGTATATCCTTCTAGCCACCTACTACCAAAGCCCAAATATAAAGTAACATTTACTAAATACTAGCTAGGTATCTCATTTTAAACAGTGCCTTACATACACCATCATAAAAAGGAACATACCTAATTATTACTAGCAGATTTTTTCTTTGTGATGCTCATCTAGAAGTAAAAAAACAGCTTATTTATGGCACTGACTGTACATGCATAGTGGGATCATTGAACTATTGATAGGTAGGCAACTAGATATAAAAACCTATTTGTAATAGGTAGGGTAGCGCCATCTATCGAAATTATGAAGCAACGCGTAAATTCCTAGTAGTTCGACAAACTGCAGAGGCGACTATTGTAGAGGGCGCTTGGTTGTCGGATGTGCATGTGCAAAAATTGTGATAATAATGTCAAGGCCAATGCTAAAATTAATAAATTTGTTTATTACATCCACATAATTGGATAAAATCAATGCTATGTTTTAGGTGGGTAATGTAATATACGAAATAAGGTATAAAAATTAAACAATATGCCCTATATTTTCAAATACTAGTGTTGCTTCCGCGTCATAACCTCTTCGCAAATAATATCTATGGATTCGGAATTTGTACGAAATGAAGAGATAATTCACTCATTACAAAGTGTTTACTTGTGCTAATGGATGATTATTTATATTTTCATTGGTAGTAAAGTATTAAAAGCTAAATAATATCTTTAGTATTTAATAATCGTGACAAAAAGTGATCGCAAAATTTGAATTTGGCGCCTTATAGTGAGAAACGCATGAAGTTCGCGTTGCGAATCTGGCCGATTGATGTGAAAGATATTCCGAAGGCCGTGAGTGAACACGGAAATCGAGATGTGTGTGTGGTCAAAAAGACAGTGCAAGGTAGGGGTCGGGTGGCGTTTGTGATGGCAAAATTTTTGCAAATGGTGAGTTAGGAATTATTGACTTGTCGCGTCTCGGATTCGGTTTTGTTTTGTGATAGTGTGTTATTTGAGTGATTAGCAAAATATTTGGTGTTTATTGATATTAAAATTCTTAGATTCTGTGATACGGGATCGGCAAATGGCGCTACGAATAGCCAAAGTTGACACAACTACGCGTTTAGAAATCCCATACACCTTCGGTTGCCAATTTTTAGGCACGCGGCATGATCTGTGATAAACAACAAGTAGTGGTGCATCCTAATTTTCTTCATATCAGTCGTGTGGACCTAGCAACTGGGACATCCAGCTTGGCGATTATAACGGTGTCAGCATGTTGCGATTTTTTTGGCGAGCGGTACTACTTTTTTAAACTCGTTTATAGAGGCGGCTAGAGGTTTCCGCGTCCCGTAGGGTCGGTGGCCCCGCGATCTGGCTCCTGGAGCTAAATTACATAATGTATAGGTGTTGTTTGGAGCATGCAACAAGTAGATATGTGTCGGCGGGCTAACTGTCAATGTGGAGTACAGTAAGCTCGCTGCCCGCGGCCCCCATTAATTCGAGCCGCTGATGTCACTTATCTCTCCGCTCTCCTATCTAGGCCCTATGGCCGCCAATTTTTTGCACATAGTATCTTAATGTAAATTTGATAACCGGCGCACGTCTCTAATTACCACTTGTTTAAATACTAAGTGATGCAAATCTAGGTTCGTTTACAGCAACTGTTCGCGAATTTAAATTTTAGTCCTTCCATTGATATAACCTTGTAATTTTTATTTTGTGAATTTAGTAGTTGTGTGTATGTATCAGTAATGTAGCATAAACACAGCATAGTGATATGATAATTATTTGCAGCACGGTCACTGACATTAGCACCAACAATGGACCAGCAATTCTGCTTGCGCTGGAACAACCACCCGAACAACCTGACTGATGTACTTGCGAGTCTGCTACAAAGAGAGGCTTTGTGCGATGTCACTCTGGCCTGTGATGGGGAAACTGTCAAGGTACTTTTATGTGTATTACTAGTTATCTAACATAAATCCTAAATTAACTAGGCTTAATGCTCTAAGTTCATTATCTTCAATTGAAATTAGACATTCAGCCAAAATGTCCGTATTTCTAGGTCATCATAGTAACAAATTGAAATGATTGAGCTTCTCTTTAGTAGACATAGTCACATGATTTGTTTGTTGTTAAAAAGTTATTACAATCTCCTTAGTAATGTTATGTCACAATGTAGGAAGTGTATGTAAATATTGATATTGTGTTTGTTGCACTCACATGTTGCACTAACAGTTTATTATTATGCCACAACAAAATGCATTAAATAGTAAACAAACATGAGTAATACACTCATGTGTTACCTATTGTTGACAATGCTTTTTGAATGATTTTTCTTGCATTTACCAAACATTACAATAAGAAATAATTGTTTATTTTACATGCACTTATATCTTTAATTAATAAATTATTTTAAAAGACTTAATTTGCCATGCATCCAATACCCAGCCTCATTTAATTAAGGATAAGCAGTAGGCAGAACAGAAACTATTTAGGTTTTTACTTAACTCGTATGGATTTTTATGGTACATCCTATATTATTATATTTAAAATATTATAATATTTAGATTAGGCTTGTATATTAAGTATAATGTTGTATTTTATTCAGAATTATTGCAAATGATTAATTAATTCCAAGGACAACAATAAAAGTGTCTAATGATATGTGCCTACATAACAGCTAGATAGAGGGAGATAACACACAAAATCTTGATTGTCATAACAGTCAAATTGCTACCTTAGGCCATCAAGTCAAGGTAGTCTTCATTGTAGATATTTAAATATTTGCTAATTTCACAAGGTTATTCTTTCTTAGATTGCTTTTTGAGCCTGAATACCTATATTTTAAAATATAATTAGTCATGTGCTTGACTACCTAAAAACATTTTGTATGTAAAACTATTGTTTTACATTTGACTGACAAAATCTATTTGTGTCTATACTGTATAGAAATGTAAATTTATTAATGATGACCCTAACTAGATACTGAAACTTGTACTTATAGTCTATCATGAGGCATTAATGTGTTTCCTGTTTGTATATAGTTATAAAATGAATTCCTATATGCGGATTGCCCTTATATTTTTAGGAACTGATATTTTACTAAGGTCAATAACACATGTAGACTATCAACTTCCTTTATATGCCATTTAAATTTAAATTCAACAATTAACTATGAAAGCTAAAGTTTTATGCTAATAAAATGCAATTTGTTTGGTAGGTTGAAAGGAGTCTGCAAAATATCTGCATGTTTTTTAACTTTCTAATTTTTATTAAAGTTGTTAAGCAGGTTTTAGGGTCTAGAATGTCTAGAGCTAGACAAGAATTAACAGTATATTGTCTGGTTAGCTAGCTCTGATATTATTAATTCACATTTTTAAAGAATGTCTATCCAAACAAACCTTGGCACTATTTTAGACTAAAAATATATTCTGAACTAAAACTCTTCCAAGTGATAGTACTAATCGCAATATTATAAGAACTGCAACATGCGTCCTTGGAACAATGAAAAATATTGTTTAAGAGCTTTAATTACAATGCTCTACATACATTTTATTAACTCAGCATCGATATTCTAACTAAATCATCGTCCTGTTACCCTTATTGATTACTTAAGACACACGTACTAACTTTTAGCTTGTAGTATTATCATTAAATTGACTCTTTAAATTTGTTATTCAAAGTAATCCTACAGCAGTTGCAAAAAAATCATACCTACATAAAAGTTGACCCAAACAACGAACGCTACTCGCGCGCCCTGATTTCCGTATCTAAATTAATTTGCGCGTCTTGATAAATGACTATCAAAATAATGTGACATATTAAGGTGCCTACGTTATAAAAAGAATCCTTATCATTATAAAGTTTTATTTTTTAATACTCAATTGATTATTACTACGTATTTCATTCATGGAAAAGTAGGTATTGAAACATTCGAGAGGCACGGTGCTTAAATCATCATTCGCGTGCTGACCGCTTCAATCTCACTCCAACCCTTATCCCAATTTATTTTGGGTCAACAAGATAATTTTTCTCTTCCATCCATCTTTATCAAACGTAATCTGATCTACACAGCGTTTACTAGTTTCTTAACCGTGTCATCTTTTGCATACATTGCTCTCGTAAGTGACATTTTATCTATTACTTATCTACTTATTTGTATCTTTGGAGATATTCGGTAATTTGTCACAAACTGTAAGATGAAATATTTGAATGGGGTTTCCAAATTTGCACTCACCAGTTGGTACCAATGCAATTTAAGGTCCTGTTAGCTGAAACAAATTACTGTGTAACGGGTTTATATTAACCGATAGTCCAATATGAATCTGTATTATAGTCATTCAAATACGTAGAGAACTAGTTCTACCAAAATTAATTCCAGTGTAAAACCCAAATCACAAGTTTGAGGGCAAGATAACTATCTTAATTAAAACATTTCTCAACAATTAGACAGAAAAATATTTTTACATCCGCGCGACTGTTACTTGGGAGATTACCGCATGCAAACAGAGTTTTATTGAAATTAATTAGTATAGATAAGTCAAATTGATGGCCAAACATAATATTTAAAATGTAAAAGCAATTGAAACTGGATGGACGGACATACGGAGTTTTAGCAACGGGTTCCTTCAAACCTTTTTCGTACGGTTGCAACAGTAAATTTTACCGTTGTTTACTGGAAACAAAGTAGAATATACGTATATCTTCTGAAATCCAACACAATTTCTGTTAAAAGTTGTAAATAAACGGTTGTTATGTATAATATTACGTTATTACAAAACCTGTTTCATATTAATGATTAAATAACTTAAGTTAAATGACTAAGTAATTGTAAGACTTACATATCATTATCTTCGAAAGAAATTGTGACTGATAGAAGCATCGGTGTTATTTTGAATTCAAAAATGTTATTGATACAATTGAATTTTTTTTTATTATGAACTTGTAGAATACTGTTATTCCGTTCGGGATAGCGGATTCAATAAGATTAAACGTGGTGTTCGTCTGCAGAAGATACGAGTAGTAAACTTGCTACCTACATAGTCTAGCAAGATACCGCTATTGGCTTTATACAATCCTAGAGTTAATGTGTTACAAATTCACGATCTTAACAAACTACTCAGTTAAACATCGCGAATTATAACACCCAAACTTAACGATAATACAGTTCGGTAACATAAATATAGGACATACCAAATAGATCTGTCATACTTATACTATCTAGGACGATCGTAGTAGTCGCGAACATAAAATAAGCTTAGAGAGAAAGTTCGATTTTTATGTCAAGTATAGTACCTACCTGCAAAAGGAAAGTTCGATACCATTCATACTTATCTGACCTGCCCTCTCTAAGTTACGACTTCAATTATGAACCGAATTGATTACATATCATGTCCATGATAACTGGTTTGATAAAACATATTTCCTTTTAATCTACGCTTAATACGATAATTATTTTGAATGAAAATGTAATGTACATATTGATACTGCAAGAAGAAACTACATTATGCCTATTAATACTTTAAAACGATTAAGATAATTTGGATAACAGGGCGATGTTTTAGGCTGCGTAGGCGTTGTGTCCTAATGTCCTAACTTAGATACTGATAAAAAAATATTACGCAGTACTTTATGTACGCGAACTTTTGTCCATTTGCCGGACATGTAGTTCTGCCTAGAAGCATCAAGCAACCAACGACAGGTGTTGTAGTATTATCGATCCTCCTTCAGCTTCAGGGACATCTATGATTATATAGATAATACTTTTCCCTTTAAAAACAGTCGATACTGGCCTTATTTATGGTGTAACTGACGTTCTGTATTTCATGATGTTTTATATGCTCCTTTGTATCCTGTCGGGTATTCGACTCCTGCAGGAAACTGCTTGGTGTAAGTCATAACTGGTTGTTTCGAATCTGGATATTATGTGCATACATACATAATTTCACGCCTGTTTCCCATGGGGGTGGGCAGAGACTGCATGTATTTGTAAACGCATCCACGATACAGGACAAAAAAGTTGGATTAATTATGATACCTGACTGTACAATAAATTTTACATAATAAACTCACTTTAATATTTGGAGAGGGCAAGTTTCGCAAATAACACCCCGCTATGCGAATATAACATAGCATTACCTTACAAAGGCCCCCAAGCAAACACTGAAAGCCTTGTGTCTGAAACCTAGTCCATGAAAAAACGTTTACCACCTAATTGTAATAACAATAGGTCTGCCAAAATGGCAGTTATGCACTGTTTCTATATAATGCTAACAGAATCGTAAAGACCTTCACATAGCTCTGCATCATTTCTTTTGTTTAAATTACACGTGCTATTTTTAAAGTAAACTTGTGAAAATGTGTTTTTTTTTTCTATTGTTCCAGGCACACCAGACGATACTCTCCGCATGTTCCCCATATTTTGAAAGCATATTCCTACAGAACTCGCATCCACATCCGATAATATTCCTCAAAGATGTACGATTCTCAGAAATGAAATCTCTTTTGGATTTCATGTACAAGGTATTAAGATATACTAAAATAAAATAACTTACGGTTAAGTGTATTAATCATTTTATATTTTTAATTAAATTCGATATTCCAGGGTGAAGTGAATGTTGGCCAAAATATGCTACCGATGTTCCTAAAAACTGCTGAAAGTTTACAAGTTAGAGGTTTGACCGAAAATAATACATTGAATCCAAAGGTAAGAACTCATACTTAATTAGTTAAGCAAAATTACGTAAAATACTTATTTTTGTACATTTTACATATGTATGTTCCGTGCCATTATCGGATTATAATATCGATAGATATGCTAACTCTACCTAGTTTATATGGATTCTAATAAATTCATTAACCACTTATTCAATAACAGTTCGGCGATTATTCACCAAAAAAATAGCCATTTCGTTTTTTGTTAAAACAATTTTAGTCTAAATGTTATACATTTCCATTTTTACTTAAAAGTCTCACGCGTCTTGATTATGCGTTTTATTGGTTATCGCTTGTTAGCCTTGAATTTTCGGTAGAACGACAGCTTAACGCTAAAGTTACATTACACGTCGAATTTAGAAATGATAATTTCTGCACTATTAAGTCTAAAGTAGTGATAAACAACGTTCATTTCCTGCAGTCTAGAATTAAAGCATAGCTAGAATGTTGTAGGTGAATTTAAAAGATAGTCCTAATTTAAAATTAACGCGATGACGTCACGAAACCGTTATGCCCAACGATATAAAAAAGATATGCATCCATAAACGCATCAACTCGATAAAAACCGTTGGATTATGGACGCCAATGTGAGAGTTAGGTTTATAGGATTCAATTCGTGTAGAATACGAAATCGTATAATTTACTGTAATCTTAGAAATTAATCTTATGTATATTTTTGTTAGGCAAATATTTCGTTTTTGATTTTCTTTTCTGAATCTAAATTATATTAGGTTCTAGAAATTTTTGTGTAATGACTACAAGATGTTCTTGATTTTGATCATATTTGGTGTGAGATATGTTGTGTAAGAGTAGTGTTTTTGTATTCTCAGTCGGAGGATCGGTCGACTCCGTCAGTGAGTGCGGAGAACCTTTCCCGTTCGGAATCGTTCGCCACGCCTCCGGCCGCGCACTGCGCGCCGCCCGCTCCCCACACCCCTCTGTCGGCCGCGCCCCCCGCGCACCCGTCTCACCCCTCACATGCAATCCCTCCCGAGAAGAGACGCAGAAAGAACTCTACGGTACCACGAGACGACGTCGACCATTCTTACAGGCACTATGAGGTAAGGGAGACAGAAAACTGATTTCTATAGCGAATGATGTCCATACATTACTGATTAAAATGTCTTATATTATCAATTTTACAGGTATCAACAGTGAGTTTTAAATACATATTACCAAACATTCTATTTAATCATTAACAATTTTAAATAGAATTCCTTTGAATTCTCAGATGTGTTCATTTGTAAGTATTGGTAGTAACGGTACTGCTGTACAGGGGCATGTGAAGTCGGCGAAGTGCGGGTCGACGGGGTCCGGGTCGGAGCCGTCGACGCCGCCCCCGGCGCACACGCCGGCGCGGGCCGTGGCGCGGTCGCCGGCGCACACGCCGCACGTGAAGCAGGAGCCGGAGTCGCCGTACCCGCCGCACGCGCCGCTCGCCCCGCACGCGCCGCACGCCCCCGCCCTCCACCCGCCGCCCCCTTTCGACCAGACGCACCTCCAGGTAAACACTGACATCATCCTGTCAAATCTCGACGTCAGAAACTAGTCAATATAGTTTTATCTAGCTTTAACTAGTCAAAACTAGAAATTATCTTCCCACTCATAATGAGGATGATCTTTTTCTTCTGTTATCTTAGTTATTTTCTAACGATCCGCGGATCTGTGTCAACAGGAAGGAAGGGATCTGCCTAAATAAAAGATAATATCACAAGTTGTAAAGCAGAGCCTTTCCTTCTTTGTTGGCAGAGTTCAGGCTGGGCTTGCGTGGCTGTCCCGGAAGAATCTAACCACCAGTATTTGGACCTAAGCATTAAACGGCCCGATAGCAACATACTCGCCTCGATCCTCGCTCTCCCGCCCCAACAGATTACTCCACCTTCGAAATCATCGCGACAATCTCCTGTAAATTCTAAAAAAACCGGGAAATTCCGTTTAAGTTGGTTAACTCTGTACCCATGGCTGCAATATGATAAATTTCAAAACATTATGTATTGTACTTACTGTAGGAGATGGTCACACGAACTGACTGTCAATAGAACTTCCTTTGTGGAAGGCAACTCTAACTTTAGATTAGAAATAGTGAATCACCACGACAAATGCAAAGCTCACAAATTTTGTCGAGACCGTGAACATTCTACTAACACAAATATACCTCCTAGAAGAGAAACGCCAGATCAATAGTTAGGTATAAAAAAACACGCTAGTACATATTGGCAAAAGTTCAATGGTGCTAGTGCTAGTTGGATATGTAATCGTTTAGAATTTGAAGAAATAAAAAATAGATAATAGCACATTGGTCAATTGATACACTTCAAATATCATAAATACTATTCCAGCATATTTATGAAGTTAATGTTAACTATTACTATACTGGTGTTAATGCTAGTATTATCAAAATTTTGGTATAAAAGACTGATTAAACTTAATCTTACCAGTTAAACTGACCAGTCTTGATATAGTTACATTGTTGTGATAAATAAACATGCATTTTAAATATGACAATCTTGAATTCACTTCTATTATTATATTGTAATTATGAATTATAATGCTTGTCATTAATTCACTGTAATTTTTATTTGTTATAATGTGTCAGACACAAACTTTATTATTAAAATGAAAAATTTCAATATTGTTTTATTATTTACATATTTTATCGTTACCTGGGTGACCTCATTATTTTGCAAATAATTAATTCTCAACAACTGAAGATATATTCTCGTACAAAAGAAAATATTTATGACGACAAAAATCACTTCTGTTTTAAAGCTGTTAATTGTTAGCAAAGTTACTTTTCTGTTATACAATGAGCTTGCTGACTTTCCAGAGTATGGGAGTAACGGAAATGGCATCGATACTGACCCAGCAAAGCCTTGGCAACGAGTGTAACGACAATGAGCCCATGTTACAACCCCACCCTGACCAGACAGACACCATAGATGGTGAGTTCTTTTATCTATACAATCACCACTAACAAAATTATGAACAAAATTAAGTTTTACAACAGAATAAACACTTATTTAAATATTAAATATACTTCAGATACTAGTAAACTAATTCACGTTCTTAATTTTATTGGTGGCTATTAATTTACAATATTTGTCAGTTGTTAATTTTAAAATCAATCTATATTAGAAAACAATCAAAAAGAACACTGTTTTGTTTTATCATTACAACATTATTTGGCAAATAAAACAACTGACAAATAAAATATAAATGTTGCCTGTCTTTAAGATGTTTGAAGCTTTAACTTTTATTTTACCCCTTTTATTTCGCTTTTTATAAATGAATCAGAGATATTAATCCATTCTAAACCTGGGTTGGGATCTCTGGACTAGAGACCACTAATAATGCATGCTAACAACACCCTGCAGCATGTCACTCATTGTTGCTTACCATTCCATTGTCAATTAGCACTAACCATAGATGCTTTAATATTCTTTTGACTTAGTATGGTACGCTTTTAGACTTTTCTTTTTTACTTTGAAGAAAACGGTGTCATAAGATTTCTGTATTATAAAGATTTGGCGCCCCCGAGGGTTATAGGTCGTGCAATATTGACACTATTTTAATATCTAGATAAGGCTCAAAATTGAGATAATGATAGTGAAAATTATGTATGATTAGTTTATAGTATAAGCAAATTATAACTGGAGCTGTATCTTAAGGGCAAATCTACTTACAAAAATAATTACGAGTTAGGAATGCATGTAAGAATTTTGAGGTGGAATTATTTTCGAACGGTAATGGAAAGAGTGTTTTTGCTTTACGAAGTCTCGTGTCAGTGAAGAACTTAAGCATGCCATCTAAATTATACCCGAAGTGAAATGTTACGTATCTTACAGGTGAAAATTGTGGCGTTGACGAAAATAAAAAACCATGGGAACCATTTACAAATAAATTAGCCAGTGTTGAAAATATTGTCAAATCATTTGGCTTGGCATTGACCAACAGACCGTTAAGTGTTCCCGAATCTTGTAACATTTGCGGAAAACTAGTAAATAATCTTAAAAAACATATGAAGTCACACAATCCCGAGCAGCACAAGTGTCCCATGTGTCCTATAACGCTCACACGAGCCGACAACCTTAAGAGACACCTTCGCATGAAGCATTGTTCTATATTAAAGTCTAATAATCTGTCTAATATACAGAAGAAATGCGAACTAAGTTAAACTTTCTTAAATTAGGTAGTCAACTAAGAATCAATGAATCTCATTGCTTACTTACGTCATATAGTATTAGTACTTATGTATTGCGGTCTAACGAGTGGATGGGTAGCTAACATTTTGTGATCATAGTGTATCTGTAACACACACTCAGGGCTTAACAATTACTTGTTAACATTACCTATCTTGCCTATTACCTTACTAATATACTACAATTTTAACACGATGCGCTTAATTGACATTTTGTAACTAGATTAAGGTGTGGTGTGATTTTTCTTTAAGTTCATTGTTTTCACGTTGTTCAAATTAAGTTCATTAATTTAACATTGTTCAAAAAATAATTTTTATTTCAATCATACTGGTTATCTTATGAAGTTGTATTAGCTTAAAATATTATTTTGAGACATTATTTTTTGATGTGAAAGTTCAACACAAAATTAAAACTAAATCGAAATTCATGCAATTTTGTCAAAGTGTTGAACGTAATGCTAGAAACTAGCAAGTTTTACAAAATTTTGCTCCTTTATCAACCTGGATTTTATGTATTGTGATAAAATAGCATTATGCTTAAACAACCTCATGTGTTAACAATGTATGTCTTTTTATTTATTTCAGTAATTTTATAATATTAGTACCAAAGTGGCTTTGCTGTCGACGAGAATAAGGTTTTATGTAATTGATATTCTCAACTCAAATGATCAGCTTCTTTCAATAACTTTCTTGTACGAAATCTAAAGGTGTGTCCGCATCTAACGAAGGCACCGTTTGCGTGCATCTCGCGTGCCTCGCGGGTGCACTTTTCATGTTCGCTCACCGACCGCGAGCGACGCATTCTCTAGATGACGATGCACCATTAGATTATATTTTTAGTAGTTGACACATTATAAAAAATGGGAACATAAAGTAATAATACAATTTTAAAGATATGCTAAAACTGCACACTATTAGTGCCTTCGTTTTGTGGTCTCGGTCATAAAAATTAAATTATAAAAGATTGCAGATCAATTGAGGTGCCTTATAAATCAATCTCGATAAAAAGTTTGTGCCTACAAACTTATTATGATCTCTTGTTGTTCCTTGTAGTATTATGAAACGACATCAGCTACAATTTTATCGCTGACGTCCAAGACTGAGTTTTATGTGATTTAGGAACATACCTCTTAATTTTAATTTATTTCCCATTTACTTCGATAAAATTCGTATGTAAGTCTATCGTTATTGTGTGTTTGTTGCAAATATATTCCTTTATTTATACCACTTTTCTTTTCATTTCATCCTCTATCCATGCTTTCTTTATATATAGCAGACCTATTTCTCTCTATAAATCGCCTTCTGCATTACAGGCTTGGTGACAGTAATTAACAAATTTTCATGCAAATGTAACACTGACAATAACAAACACCATTTCTTCAGTAGGTATCATTGATTCATTTATGCATGGATCTCCATTGAATATTACTATTTTGTTACAAATAAATAATTTCCAAAGTTTTGTTTTCAACTTTATTAAATATTATTAACGCTTTTATACTATAATAGTTCTAGGAAAGGCATAGTACAGCGTTAACAGTTACTATTAAGGCTTAAATAGTGCTAAAATATTGTAAACATTGTTTAATCGAATCTTGTTTTGCAAATTGTTTTAAATTTGTTAATGATACACGTAAAAGATGATTGTAAACCTCAGAAGAAACCGCATCACGTAACTAATGCCCCAGTACCGGTGGTCAGTGAGTGGCGCACTGTAGAAGTGTAGCACGGTCCGGGGCTCGCGTGGCGGCTGGCACTGCGGCATTGGCCGCGTGGTGCTGAGTGGCCGATAGAGGCAGTGGATGACGCATGGCTGGTTGCAGGCTCGAAGGGCTGGCACATGCGGCTGACGTTCGAGCGCGTGGCGGGCGCGCTCAACCTGCACCGCTGCAAGCTGTGCGGCAAGGTGGTGACGCACATCCGCAACCACTACCACGTGCACTTCCCGGGCCGCTTCGAGTGCCCGCTGTGCCGCGCCACGTACACGCGCTCCGACAACCTGCGCACGCACTGCAAGTTCAAGCACCCCGCGTACAACCCCGACACGCGCAAGTTCGAGGCGCCCGCGCCGCCAGCGCCCGCGCCCGCGCACGCGCCGCTCTACGCCAACCCGCTGGACGCGGGCTTCGACTGATTGTCCATGTACTGGCTCGGCCTCGACGCTCTGTGAGCGCTAGCCCTCGCCAGCCCAGACTATGTCGTTGTTCATGTGTCAAAATTTTAACGGACCGTCTCGCGTCGAAACCGCTTCCTATTTAGGATTAAGCTGAAGTGCTATTACTTAAACGGGCCTTTCTTAACGTAGCCCGCACAGGGCGGGCGACTCGTTTTAGTATCGTCTCGGTTGTGCGTTTGACTTGCCCCAGTGTGATCTTGTATAAGATTCCTCGTCTGGAATATACCTATGTCGATGTTACTGAAATAATGACTCGAAACGTATGTAGTAGGTAAGCAAATTTTTTTCTATACCAATCGCTATACGGGAACGGGCAAAAGCAATAATATGATGTTAATTTTACTATTACCATATTATTTTTTATATTGTATCGATAGGAACCTTAAGATATTAAGAATATACATTATATCGAGTAGCGGTGCGACCGCGAAGTGATGCTGGCTATTAGCGGTGGCCCAGATACGGGCCAACAGTTTCTTGTTATATTTATTCATTAGATAGGAAATTATGAGTTTCCTGTAGCTAATTATATTTATGTTATTGAATCCTGTGGGTGGTATGGAACGACATCAGAAGGATATTTGGGGACTGGCAAGAGATTGTGATTAGTCGTTGGTCAACGACGTATAAATATTGACTGAATCTCAGTGTAGATGCATTTGTAACTCTATGAGGCCTTTGCAAGATGGATAATTATTAAGGATTTGTGATGTATTAAAGGATAGCGCCTAAGGAAACATACGAAAAGATTTTTATACTAGACTAGTTGATCTATTTACGGAGATTGTTTTTTTTTTATACTTAGATATATTCTATTGTCTGATTTAATATACTTTTATATTTATATAACTGCATATATAATATGATTTATTAGTGTTGTTTGTTTTTAATCGATTCATCATATAGTAACATTGATTTCGTTTATATTGTGTTGACGGTTAAAAGAAATCGAGTTGAGATGTTAACATGTTTTATTATTTTATCGTTGGTAGGTGTTTAGTTTGTGGTACCGGGCCCGAGCCGTGCCGGCCGGCCGTCGCCCACTCGTGTGATCGGTGCTTGGGGTCAAAGACCTCTTTCAATCAATTAATATAAGTTAGGATGGATCGTTTGGAGGTTGCGCATTTAGTAACTAATATTGGCATTCTACGATTGGGACTAACCTAGCGTTTATGTATGTATTTTTCAATTAAGATTTAAGATTGTTACATTTTTAGCTAAACACTTTAGAGTGGTACGGTAACTGAAATGTGATAAAAAGGAATGGTGCTAGAACCAAGAGTGTTAACACGCTACGATTCGACTCCTATTATAATATTATTAATGATTAGTTACTTTGCATTAAATGTAAGGCATCTAGCATCCAGTTGAGGTCGCATCTATCTGGTCAACGGGTAAATAATGCATGGATCGTACACGCCTAGAGATTACAGTATCACTCGAGATTTTACCTTAATTTTTTCAGAGATCTTCAAGTTTTCTAGTACATAAATATATAATGAGTAATGATAAGACACCATTTACATAATATATGAATCTGATCCTTGCCTACCAAATATAAAACGTTCATTGATGGAGTTAGGAATTTATCACATCCGAATAGTGAATCCATGATCGTTTCCCATAACTTTAGTTGTGGCGTTAGTGCTGTTGTGCTGTTTAGTAGCTGTGAACATGCAATTCCACTTGTGCAATTTTTTGAAAATAGTCATAACTTATAGCTAGATTATATACAATTGACTATTGAATATAGGGGCCCACTCGATATGTATATGTAAGCACGAAGCTCATGCGTCCCTGTATATAATTATGATGAAGTCACCAAACATTTCTTCCATAAAGATTTTATATTTACTTTAAGGATATCAAAGATTTTTATACCTACTGTTCATAGTTATGTGGGCGCTTATTATTTGATAGCATTTCATACTCAGTGCAATATTACTAGTTATTTAATTACGTAACCAAACTAAATGATATTTTAAAAGTATATAATAAATATCATTCAAGAGAGTAACTACCTATTTGTATTTACATAAGTGACTACTCCTAATTTCTATTTCTACTTAGTGAATCGCAGTTTGGGTTACGGTGATGTACAGGTTTTATAGCTGGTAATATTATTAATTAGCTTGTTTACCTCTGCCAATCGTAATAGTTGTGTACTATTTAATAATTTATTGTCGCGCAAGTTAATGTCTATTGTTGAGATAGATCATAGCTATCCGTTACGGGTCCCATTGCCCAGCGAGTCGATGATCGTGCTGATCTCCCAATCTGCCCACGCGTTAAACGCTTCATCTAATCGTGAATGCATTTTTATATTACTATCACTCGAGACCAATTTTTAATATTGAATTTGCTATAGCAAATTGATTGATTAGTAACATAGAATATTATTTTAGATATTTTAGGTTAGGATACTATGATAGTGTCTGGCCAGAATATTTTGGAGAATCACACCGTTTGGCTCAGAAAATATCTACCTTTGATCTCTTTTCAGCTTTCAAAAAGTATGCAACTTAATAATTGTAATGGTGACCACATTCGGACTTAATGAAAGCTAACTTTATGCCATATGGAATTTTATACATAAGGTTAACGAATTACTAAATTTAGTCTTATGAAATTGAGGTCTTGTAGACCTAGTCACTTATTTGGCCAATCTATTGAATATTCCAATTTATTGTATATTAAAATTTACATTTGTATCACAAGGATGTGATCTTATCATTTGAATCAATGGAGTGCAGGATGAGCTCTAACGTTATTTTCAGGATAGCAATGGTCTAGTTATGTTTATTTTGTTTCTTCTTTATAACATTAGCAAATTTGTTATAGTGTCGTATATCACAATAGTGTAATACTAATAGGGAGGGGGTGTCAAATCGTGTACCTCACAGCTGACGAATGATCTTGTTATATATTATTACATGAAATTTTATGAACGATTTGTTGTTTATGAATATTTTGTTTGATGTCTTGGTTTGATGCCTCCGTTAAAAGTTTTTAATTTAAATAATTTTGTTTTATGCAAGCAGTTAATGCAATTTTTTTTCACATTGTTTGATGTTATGTAATGCAATTTTAACATGTTGCAAACTCCTGCATTTATCTGTTGTATTTATTACTAATTTTTACATTAAATTGTGGTATGTTACAAATCCGTGTAGTTTCAGTTGTGCGTTTCACATGCTCCACACCCACCTGCAAAATATAAATTTAACTGTGTAAATTATTAAGGCTCGACCAGATTTACACTTTGTAAACGAGCAGCCTTGTCGTGAAGAGATGACAGCGTAGAGCCAGAGCGGCAATCGGCGGCGGAGTGTCGCGCGTCGGGGTGTCGGGCGTGTCGGGGGCGCGCTGTAGCGGCTTGTTGTTGCAGAGCGCGCGGCGGGCGGCGCGGGCGCGGCGCCGTACTCGTACCACAGCATGTTCGTGGCCGTGGCCGACAGCGCGGCGCTGTGGCGCTGCAAGTCGTGCGGCAAGGAGGTGTCCAACCGGTGGCACCACTTCCACTCGCACACGGCGCAGCGCTCGCCGTGCCCGTACTGCCCGGCCACGTACAGCCGCATCGACACGCTGCGCTCGCACCTGCGCCACAAGCACGCCGCGCTGCTGCTCAAGCACTAGGCGCGCCGCCCGGCGACGCCACACAGACGCCCCCCGACCCCTGCGACGCTCCTACCATCTGAGCTCGATATCTTTGTTTCTCGTTTAATGTGACTAGATTTTAATTACATTGACGTGCTTCGTGCATGATTTGGAAGGTAATTATTATATTGAATGTGTTACGACGCACGTTTTCGTGCGTTAAATTTAAATTGTTCTGTATCGGTAAGGTATTGAATTTTGTTACAACTTATTTAACTAACAGGGTAAAATTAAACAGTAAGATACCGGAAAGGCTCTTATTGCTATCAAAAGTTTCAGGCTCAGTTTAGTTAGTCAAGGGATATTATGTTCTTGAAACTTAAAACATAATAATTGAAGCACCTATGATTTTATTCTTGAGTTTCGTACACGATCAAGCAAATGCTATTTTGAATAAAACACCCTTTTTAACGATTTGTCGTAGTAGATAAATTCCACACCTTCAATGTAACAACATTCGTGTTTATAGTGCGTAGGTAAGTGTATAAGGTGAAACATATTTATTTGCAAGTAACTATACATAATGGAATGAAGACTGAAAGGTAACAGCTTGTGATTGATCTTAAGATGGAGACGGTAAGGTCTGAGTGTAAATAATTTGTAAATTGGTAAATATAATCGTCAAAATTTTAGGTAGCAAAATATCTTGGAACTTAATGCGTGTTCAAAATTGAAATTAACATTAAAACACGATCTATACTTAGTAGTCCTATGTATTATAAATTATATTTTTGTATAAATATTGTCTGCGTTTATCGCATAACATTAATTAAGGGTATTAGATGTTTACTCTCGACTTGCAGACATATAGCAAGAATAATCGACATTCCATAATATCTAGGTGAACGAACGATGCGATAATATTAAAATAATCGAATTGGAACGCATTTGATAACTTAATCAGATTTTCTGACTTTTGGAATCTACTGATGATATTAATTATTATCTTATATTGATATAGTACGAAATTGCTTAACCCTTTAAAATATAATGATGTAAGTAGGTAGTCTCCACGCTGAATGTTGTGACCTATGGCTCATTTGTTAGAAGAAACTATCCGATGATTTCTGAAATCGGAAAGCTATTGTAAATTATTTCTCTTTATAGTTAAGTGTCGTACATTGAGACATGTGAATTTAACACGTCGTTTACTTATGTAAGTAAATATCTAGCTTTTAACGGTCCAATATATATTAGCATTCGTAATGTGTGTCATATTGTTGTTCGTACAGAATGATATTTCATGGAATCTCATCTTTCAGTAGTTAATTCATTTTATCAGTATTATATGTAACTAATATTCATAGATAGTCATTAATTGATGTCATAAGTCCCAATCTAAGAATGTAGGTTAGTTATTGTAGCATTGTGAAGTCATCTGTTATAAGTGCTTGACTAGTCACACCCACTTTTCTAGTTAATAATTAATTTATTGTTGAAATGTGTTGTTCCTTTTTTATTATTGTTTTATTATTATAGTTTTAAATTTGGCTCGTTCTGATTGTGCAATTTTTTGCCGCTGCCGTAACCAATATAATGTTTTAGGGTTTTACAAGTAAAGTATTTTTGAACTTTACTTGTATGATTATAAAAATATTCACTTATTTAATGCTCTAAATAAAATACATCACTTCAAAATGGTGTTTCTTTTAGTCAAATGCAAAAATACAACGACACTCGGTAAATAAAATAATTTTATTGCACAGTTCAATGATTATCATGTTAATGGCAACACATACAATAGGTGTGATTTATTTACACATTGCACAAATATCACTATGAGTATTCAACTATAAATACTTGCATTACCTACGATAAAATTACCTACTTGTGACTCCAAGTCTTCAATACAGTACACAAACTTACCTAATTACATTCAAAATGAATTAAACATGGCAACATATGGCAAGTTTAATTCTCTAAAAACTAATCATAATTTATGATAGAAGCATACATTGAAAATGGCAAAACATACAAAATAATCCGCGTTCACTTATTACTCGCATTACAATCAGTCCTAACTTACACTGGCAAAGAGACAGTAACTCAGAGTTCGCTTGAAATTCCATTTACTTATCACAGTTATGGTTTTACTTTACTCCCTCACAGTAGTTCTACATTTTAGGAGATTTCCTTTACAATTTTACTTGCATCTTTGTATTTTTAGGCAATATCTCTTAATTCGCGACTACAACAAATTGTTGCGTTATAAAATGGGAGATTTCGTCTGCAATATTACATTACTCTATTGATTCCCTACAGAATATTTTTATACAAAGATCTAGAGACGTCCCTCTTACTGCGCCGCTAGTCATTAGATTTGAGGTCAATATCGAAACACTGACTTAAATATCGGAGGGACTATAACTATTTACTTATAATAAATTAGAGAAGGTAGAACTACTCTTGTAGCCTTTCGACTTTCCCACTCTCTCCGGGGGAGTCTACAATGACACTAGTTTCGCTAACTGGACTGTCTCCTTTGCCGACTTCAGTGTCCTCTTTCTCACTTGAATCTTCCTTCTCAGTAGAATTTTCATCAGAGTCATCAGATTCTTCATCTGAATCACTTTTTTCAGCAACACTCTGCTTGTTCTTGTTCTTTTTGAATTCTTCCTCCATTTCTTTGAATTTAAGGGTCAAGTATCTGAAATTACGAATAAGTATCACATATTTAGTTCCATACTAAAAACAAGCTAAAGATAAATAAAGAGTATCATCTAAAACGAGTACAAAATAACATGAATACTTCACCGAAACCAAATCAAACATTTTTTTCGTTAGGTTGGCTTAACTGAAGATGGAATGAGTAAGTATAGTTAACTGCTAACCCCACATATCTGGTTAAGTAAGTAGGTAAGTGTGTGCCAGTTTTACAGGTTTCCTACAGGTCCCTGATTTTGACTGACAGATGGTAGGTTAGATACCTAAGATCAGAATTTTTTTAAATCTGGTAAACTATTGTTAGTCTAGTCTAAAGATTGAGATTACCTACCGGCTATAAATATTTAGCCAAAATAAATAATATCACAGGTAATACCTGTTCATCTGTCCTCTGGGAATATTATAACAATCGCTGAAAAAATAAGTTCTCTAGGTTGTACTTACTTATCAACCAGTGGTCCACTGTAATCCTCGGGGAACTTGGGCGAATGTGGCAGGATGTACTTGTATAGACTCTCGTTCAATACGTATAGCTGAGTAGTGGTAGCACAACGCACGTTGAACCACCAGTCGCAGGTCAGTCCTGCCTGGGAGAATATTGTCCCGTTCGGGCATAAGAACGACGCCTGCCCTCCATTCAGGTCACAGTAATGCCACACCTGTCACAAAAAAATAATTAAGTTTTACTAATCAGATCACTTAACACATTTGAAAACTGCCCGTTTGTCTACTAGCCGCAACTACAACTGCCGAAGCAAAGGGTCTCGGGTTCGATTCCCGAGTAGAAATTGGGTGTTATAAATAACATTTATGTGCACCTCCGCCTATCCTTTCGGGGATAAGTTAAAGCATGGTGTGAAGAATTCCCCGAGCGTAAAGTTTATCTCGAAAAACGATTCGAACTCGAGTCTTCACGGCGCTCGTGGTTGCTGAACCAGTCTTTCTTAAGTAACGTCCCTTAATGTGCTACATTTTGGTGCCTACCATATAGCCAGTGACCATTTTGGGAGACATCCTCTAGCCATGCAATTACCACAAATGCAATATGCATAGACAGACGCCGACAGCTGGTCGACCTACTTTCCCTTTGTAACACCGATTTTTTGTACCTAAACATTCTTGGATATTGCAAGTTACCTGACAACGTGTCTCAGGATCTGCGAAGAAGCCTTTGTACCGCTGCGTCTTGCAGTCGAAGCTGGTGGTAGGGATCGTGGTGAGTATAGGGTAGTCGATGCCTGGCCGTCCTGGAGTGCCACCTTCGTCGTCGGATGCCTGCTGCAAGGGGAAATGTTGGCTGCTTCCAACACCAGGTGATAACTCTGGAAATATTGTAATCATTTCTTTAAAAGGATAGCTACTATCAGAACAATTTTATTAATAAGCATGCTAAAGTAGATACTACATAATGTCTCAGTCTCTGTCCGTGTTCAGTGTCACCTGTGTCACATACCATACATGGTATTATGTGTGTAACCTTTACATACCTACTGGTAAAGATTTGTTGAAAATGATAAGGAATACCTACTTATTAGTAAAGATATACCTATTATCGTAGTAATGTGGGCACTACATTAAAAATTATAGATCAAAGTTGTTAACGCTCCATATAGCTTTAACATTCAAGTTAATCTTATTTACCATCAAGTTGTTGGGAAGGAGTATTCACGGGCGCAAGGTATGGTTCTTCGGGGAATTCTGCATCCGGTAATGTTGGCTGCTCCGGTTCTGGGTCTGATTGAGCATCAATACTTGGTTTTGATACTTTAACTAGTTCTGACGCCACAAATGGTTTGGGGGTGCTTAGAACTGGGACACCTCCATTGATTGATTGCGGTACAGCCTTCAAAACATTCAACACTTGTAGTAAAGTCCTAATGGACGCACTGACATTTTCTTTTGTAATAGGCTTTGGAATAGACTTATTCAGCTGAAGCGAGTTCAACAGAGACGCCAGTGGAGCTGTGTTAGACGTTGCTGGTGGAGGTTTGTACGTTGGGGCCTGGTCAACCACATATTGATAGTAATGAGGCTTTATTTCCTCATAGTTTCCACTTTGTGGAGACTGTAAATGTGTTTCGTACTTCTGATTTTCAAAATCAAGATCAACATCAGGTACACTAGTAGTGTAAGTCGCAGGTTCCTTGGAATATTGAGGTGAGTTAACTATTGGTTTAAACCCACTTTGCACAATAGGTTGAGCCAGCAGGAGTTGTGGACGTTGTTTCTCATAATAACTTTCTGAAACAATTGACGGTTGCTTCCTGATTGGTGGTTGTTGAACGTCAATGTTGTCGTAAACATAGTGGGGACGAGCCGGTCTTGGTTTCACATAAACATGCTCTTTAGGTATTAACACCGATACTGGTACTGGTTTTTTTGTTATGTCATAAACGTTCTCATTTTCGGGTACTTTAACGGGAGGAGTTTGCTCATAAGGAACCAATTTATATTTCGGTTTCTCCGACAAATAATACCGAATGTTGGGCGAGTCCTCATTGTATAAATTCAAATAAGGTTTTCTGGTTGTTGGTATAAACGCAATGCCTTGGGGTTTTGGAACTTGCTTATGAACCAATCTGACGTTTTCGTATTCATTTCTCAAGACTCCGTTATTAAATTCCGACAATAAGGGATTGTAATTTGGAGATACTTTGTTTGTAGTATGATAAACTGGTACACCTCCTTTGTAATAGATTTTTGTTGGATTTGCGGATGCGATGTTATGTTGAGTTAATCTGTTTCCTTGATATCTAGGAATGTTTCTATTCGAATAAACGATTTTTTTGGGCTCTCGATTATTGGCGTGATTTATGCCGCTGGCCTCGAGTATTTGTGCTTTTTCTACTTCAACTTCCTTTACGTTATCCGTCACCGGTGCCGCCAAGTCGTTGGCATAGTAGAATGTCATATAAGGTATTAGTCTCCTGTATCTTTCGTTGATCGATAACTTTGTAGAGTTACTATTAGTTTGGGTGGTTTGGGGTTTTCGCTTCTTTCCACGGTTTGTTCTGATAGTCACTTCTTCTATTTTTGATTCCATTGGTATGAAGTCCTGCTGCACATCCATCGACATTCCTCCAACCATTTTAATTTCGGGACTGTTTCCATTTGGTGTGATTGTGATTGATGCGACAAACGCAGGTATAACTGAAACAATGAAAACATGTTTATTATTCCCATCACAACGTGCTCATTAAAATAGTTACACTTGTTACATTGGTCGGCTCTAGGACTGTTTAAACAATTTCCCAAGCGCAAAAAGACAATGCCTACTTCGAGGTCAAAACTGCTTTTCAACTTGACATTGTACCGAATATACCTAACCAGCGTTTAAGTACAATACAATAGCACCACAACATTTTAAAAACTGCATAGAAATTCAGAAGTGCTAATAACACTGATTTGGTCGATTCCGATCAAAGCAAGGCTAAGCAACATTCACAGGTCATCTTATTTTCAACTTTCTTATTTATATTTGATGTATAGGTAGATCATAAATTCTTCTTGCATAAGAAGCCTAGCCAGATCCAATTTTTTATTTGTAAACAGACACCTACTTAGTACGTAATAAACAGAAATACTTGCCGCGCCCATCTTATCAGTTGCATAGCGAAATTTCATCAAGACTCATCATATGTTTGTTATGAAACAATCATCTAATTGCGTCTGTCCGTCATCATATTAATCAGTATCAAATTGACCTATTTATTAGCAACGAGGCCTCTGTTAAGTAACTGCCAATAGACTTATTATAATGTATCGAAACTTTACTTTCACTGACCAGAATCCTGTTGCGTTGGTAAGTACTCAATAAATCTATGGGTCTAACCTAGCTCCGTACTCACAAATACCAGCTGTGCTGTGATGAAATTTGCTCCAGTTCTAACAATAGTGTTTTAGAAGATAGATAAGTACATATATATATTTAACTTTATACATGGTAATAGTAGTCTAGTTGGTAGAGTAAGTAGATTTAATATCGGTTCTTTTTAGTCCCTTAGATACATACTTAATCCTAATGTAAGGACTGTACCTACCTACTTAAAGGTAAGCGTGTAAATATGTATTACAACATAACATATTTTATGAACTTTAAAAGATGATAAGGTATTTTAACTCTCTACCCTGATTAGGTTGGTAACTTACCTACCGTCCTTCGTGTTTTTGTATTGCTATTCATAATTGGATAATTTTCTACGGTTGTTGGGTGCCTATGATGCTTGTTTTTTGGTAACGACAATATTTTTTACTATCAAGTGATTAAGAATCTCTCATCCGTTAAGTTATAATTAAGTGTAAAGGAATAGCTACCCAGATTGTAATTCTAATAATAGAATAGCTAAGTAGCCTGCTTCGTAATATTCTCTCAAACATCAGTTAAAAGTCGTACTAATTACTTATCTCATCCATCAGTACTTCATATTTCCAATTGCGCAATAATTGTAGTCTCCATGATAAATATTCGCTTTCACACGCACTTCTATAATTTATATCGAAGAACATAATACTTGATGATACAATCTTCTTTTAATTAATTGCTATGATTACGCTACACGTACCGACGTAATCAATAGCAATGTTTATGGGCTATTAAATCACAGTCGACCATCTGATTCCATCAGTAGGAACCAATCGAACCCGACAGATGAATTGATTTGATGGAGAGCCAAAGCCGCTTACAACGACGGTAATCGAGAAACGTGACTACAGAAATCATTCTCAGTCACCGGGACAATTGAAGGCAATTAATTTAATATCTTCACGGTCCATTTTTCCGTGTAAAATAGTTACATAGCAACTTACGGTTTGTAGAATTCAGTGGCTATTAAGAACGGCGTGGGATAAATAGGTTCATTGACCGACTAGATATAGGTAGGTAGGCTGATGCCTATGCTGATAGGACATTAATTTTAAGCAATTCATTAAGTAAACATTTTAAAAATCTAGATATTGTATAGTGTCTAGTATATAGGAAGACGTGTAGTTATGTTTATGTATGTAACTAATTGTAATAATTAACCAACACAACTTTAGTTACTGTAGTCTTTCAATAAACGTCTTTGAAATATTTTGTCTAGTTGCGTTATTGTTAGTGAACTTTACAACCACTCATAAAATTGTCGTAAACGTTATAAAAGTGGTTAAATATAAAGTCCCAACAAAGGTGCCGTGGTGTTCGGTCACACTATTCCTACATATTTATTAGACCTACATCAGATTGTGTGCAAAGCAACAACGAAATAAATTGTAGGTAAGCATTTTAGAAAGGCAGGATCGTTCGTGTGTCGAATACGGGTAGAGCCTTGTGAAGTGACTGGCTCTGCACGCGGAGATCCGTATCCTGACTGCAACTCACTAAATATACCGTTAATTAAGCTGATTTATTCAACAAATAATTTTAATTAGTATACTCTGCGGTTTCTAATAATTTCTCTTAGATAACCGTCCTGTCTACTAATCGGATTTTATTTTAACTTTGAGATAGGTGTAGAATTCTAAGTAAAGGTACCTACTTATAAAACTTTTATAAATATTTAATTAAAACTACCTCGATCAGAATTGATAAGAAGTCAAACAATGAAAGTCCGATGAGGACATCTTAGAAAAAATTATAAAACATGTGTTTTTTATGGAATTGTGTGTCTAAACTGTGAATTAGTAATTAAGTAATTAATTAGACCTTACAAGGTAAACCATAATGTATGTAGCTGTATTTGACTCTAGTAACTGACGCCTGTATCTTTAAGCGGGTTTTCCCATAAAGCTGTTGCTTTTTAAGTTTCCATTTGGTAGTTTTAGCAAACAAAGTGAACACCTTGACCTGTAAAGTCTTTCTGGCTTTATGATCATTGATAAATAGGTAGGAAAATCTCATAGAACTACTATTGGACTTGTGACCTACGTACTACCACCAACATTCAAGTGCACGAAAATAACCTTTTGCTACGTGCATGCATGCAGTCGTTTACTCCCCATGAATATCATTAGATATCTTTAGGAGTACCTCATGATTTAGGTACTGTTGAGTTATTAATATGATGTAGAATTGTAGATGAATGGCTTGCCATGGTGATTATGGTAAGTAAATAGGTATGCTCGATATTTTTCCGTAAGTAGCTCCCAGCACGTAATGTATGTAGGTCATCTTTGGCGTACAAATTTTTAGCTTCTATCAAAGACGTTATCATAAATGTCATCTAAAATATACACAAGAAAAATATCTAGGAGCTATTTGTAACTTAACATTATCAGAATTCTGAGTACCTACGATGAATAAAGTTTCATAAGATAATAATAATAATAACTTTATTCACCAAAATAAAAGAAGTTACACAGTTTAAACATCTGAGCCAGTAACAGATTTCATATATGTATAAGATAGGCTCTGTAAAACACCAAAATATTAATTTCGCCATTTGATAGTAGCATTAATTTAATACCCGAACAGGATATTGATTTACCTACTTATATAGTTACAGTATCTACTTATCTATGAATACAGGACTATCAATCTCCGACAGCCTGTCAATATCGCTTTAGTTTTCATGAACGTGAGATCAAATGACCAGATCTATTACAATAAACTCGATAATCAAATCTGCTTAGTCATTACCTACTACATGCGTAATGCACAAAAGTGAGTGTAATTTTTGTGTCGTGAATGGCTAAAGGGCAATCGGGTTAGTCAGTATCAGCGAAGGTCATATTTATTATTATTCTATAAAAATAATTTACACGATCTTTTACTTGCTATATCTGGTCAATTTAATCGATAAATCAGCACAATTTACTTTTATATTTTATCAGTTGAAATCCATTTACAAGGACAAAATTTTTGATCTTAAGGACTGACTATTTTAAGTTATTGTTTCGAAACATGTTAAACAGCATACTAGTAGGTAGATGATACAGTTTTTGGCATCTAACAAGAAGGTCCGTACCATATCCGTAGCCGTACGGCCAATTTAGAAAAGTTACAAAATAACCCCCCATTTACTTAAAGAGCAATAGCAATATTTTCGCATACTAGATGATTCTCAAGTTTGTCCGTAGATTATAACTAAGTATATCAAGGTTGCATCAATCGTGATCATTGATTCATTTGTCAAATAATTCACACTGTAATGGTCGTTCTTTGTTACAATCAGTCACGATTGTGTGGCTCTACAGAAAATCTTTTTGCTTCATTAATACTTTGTGTGTGAATTTACTTTGTTTTGAGTTTTAATGGTGTTGATGGCTATGGCCTACAGACAATAAGTATGAAACTTTATAGGTACGTTTAAAAATAAGTCCATCACATCAATAACAGCCCATCAAAGTTTACTTCTGAACTATAGACCTTGTCTGCGTAAGAGGGTTGCTCGTAACGTAACTTTTTTGCTTAGGTAACAGGTGATTTGGAGATCACAAATTAAAAGGTTGAGATTTATTAAAAAAAATCTAAGTGAGATACACATATTGTGACCCTAATTACGTTACACGTTAAATTAGGTAGGTATTAGTCCTAGTCCTATTCGGTCCAATTTTCTCATTACCAAGCGGAAACAAAAATGTGACAAACGTCCAGCATCATACAATCATAACAGGAACAAATAATTATATAACATTAAACATAACGTACAAGGTTTCTATTGTGTATTACAATATAATCATATCGCGTGGAACCGTCGCCTCGTAGTCATAATATTGTGTAAAAAATGTCAGTAGTAGATAGCAGCCCTCGGTCACGCTGTGCAAGCGCACGCACGACAGACCGTGCACAATGCGCACGTCTCCAAGATTTTAAAGTTAAACTCTTCGGAGACATCAAGATAACTAACGGTATCTCCTACAGTATAGGATCTATACAATGTTTACTTTTGGAAAGGATCTTAGGTGCCCTGTCCTTAGAACATTTAGCAAGCGTCGCATAAACACATAGCCTCAATATTTAACTGATGTCAAACACGATGAAATTCTAAATTACTTTGGTAACCTGTTATTAGCTGCAATGGACTTAAAGTATGTATAAGTAAATTAGACATGTTGACATAATAAAACTAAAAATAAAGTTGATTATGCCAATCTCTTGAACTCAACCTTTTTAGTTACACAAAAATGTCTCTACCGTATTGCAAAAATAAATATATTGTCTATTGGTAATA